TTTAGCTAACAATAGAGAATTATTAATTAATTTTACTTGATTGTCATACCTTACATACGAAGAATCAAATAATATTTCTTTTATGCTGGTAGTGGGAGTGATTGGTTTTTTACAGTACCGGAATTTTTTGTATTTTTGGTTTTCCCTTTTGGCAACCAAGACCATAGATTATAGACTAGTACTAATAATTTGATTATTTGCCGATGAGAAACATGTCTAAATTATTTACTTATCTATACTAATACGTATAAATATGGGAAAGGATATGTAATAGATAAACTAGAAGAATTTATTTTTGAACACTAGATCGTTCTTTGTGATGGATACTTAATTATATCTTAAAAATAAACTTTTAAGCGATAACTCAATTGAAAGTTTAAATCATACCATCCCATTTGTTAACATTGCCCAATGTATTACTTTATTTGTTTTTATATCTGAATATATATCATGAATAAAGGGTTACTATAAATTTAATATTTGTAACAATTCTTTTTCTATGAATTACTTGAGATCCTTTATTAAGAAGAATATTAATATCCTTAAAGGAAGTTGAATAGGATTGAAAGGGGTAAAAATAAATTCTTTTATTGACTAAGATCTTAAATGCGTGTTTATTATACCATAACAAAACAAAGATATTTAGGTATCTAGCTAAGAAGCTAAAATTGTTATTATGATAGATTAAGAGATTTATTTATTAGTCTTTTTTTTTTAATATTTCGAAGTACATATAGGTAATAGCAGTATGTTCATTTGTCGTAGTTACGATAGATATATGAGTAGACTCTTAAGATAGAATAGAGATATGTTTCATCAATTTGGGGTGTAGAAGGATTTTTATCTTTATTGTGTAGCTAATAGTGTGATAGTCATTCGGCCATTAGACCTCTCATTGAAAAAATTGATTTTTTTTAAATGAAATAAATAAAATAAATATATAAGATAATATATATAAGATAATTATTATAATATATAAATAAATAAATATTTTTATTTTTATTCTCTAAATTATTTTAATAAATATATATAAAAATATTTTTTTTATTTATTAAATAAATTTCCTTTAAGATATAATAACAAAATAAATATATATTTATTAATATTTTTTTATGTTCTATTGATTTGGATCCGTAATATAATTTTTTAAAAAAATAATTTTCAATGAGAATATATAATATATTTTATTAGGAGAGAGAAAAAAAAGAAAAAACCTATGTTATCTAATTAATATTTTATTTTTATTGTTTTTTAAATATTATTGATAATAAAAATAAATTCAAAATAAATTTACATAATTAAGATTTGGTAATGCTGAGCCAATTTTGAAAAATTTTTAATTTAAAAAATAAATATTAATATATTGATATAAGTATAGATATTGTGGTGAATTGAAAGAATTTGATTTTAATAAATTATAATAGTTACAAGAATTATTATTATTTTAATTTAGTAAGAGATTTATATCTCTCATGCAATAAATAGATGGCCTATTGATGATTAAGGATTTTTAATTTTCTTGATTTTTTTCTATTATATCCTAAATTTGTTTGACTAAAAAGAAAATAATGTTTAGGAAACTGTAAAAAAACTAGAATAATATATTTTTATTTGGGTCACTTTTTAGGGTTTTAAGAATTTGTATGTATATACATAGATTCCTTTCTCTGATACACTTGGGTAAGTAATATTACCACTATAACCTAAGTGATTTACATTATAAATTCAAATCATCTTCTCGTTTATTTTCTTTTACTTAATAGTAAAAAAAACATTATTATTTTTCATTATAGTTGTATATATATATTAATTTGGTGTTAAAAGCAGAGGGTTGAAGATTAAGTGATGACTTAATTTTCTTTTTTGGCATCTATTAAAATTTTAAAAATCTGTATTTATAAATTACAGACTAAAGTATTAAGTTTAGGAATTAAATTAAATTTTATTCTGAGACTACTTTATTATATAATATAAATAAAAAAATGAGTATATTACGAACATAATCTCGTTCAATGCATGTTATGCAAAAGACTACTATAAAATGGATCCAATTTCTAATTGTTTTTCTTTTGGCAGGGCCGCTTTGAAATTCTCTCTTTACGTGGATCATTTACATTTGGTAAAAAAAATGGGGCACGAGCACATAGCAAAACTGGCATGTTAAGTGTTTCTCTCGCAAAACCTGATGGCGGGGTTTTTGGCGGCGGTGTCGTTGGCTCCTTAATAGCATCGGGACCTATTCAGGTAAGCTATCCATATATAATTTATACCTCTCCAGTAGTTCACAGAGCCGGAATTCCTCTAATTTTAGAATTTTCCTAAAATTTATTTTATAAAATATAAAAAATTTTAAAATTTACTTATAAAATAGTGAATTTCTTTTAATTTCACCTCCTTCAAATTTTTTGAAAATATTTTTTTCTCCCCCCTTAAAATTTATTCTAGTTCTGTCAATTCATAAATTTTGTCAAAAAACCTCTTTCTTAAAATATATTGGATGTGTCTGTTCTGCATCAGATGTGTAAAAATCATTAGGGTATCTGCTCCATTTATAAAAATTGAACTCTCGACTTCACTTAATAAGAGTGTCAAATTGTTCATTTTCAGACTTTTTCATCCATTACTTTTTCACCAGTTTCTGTTAACCTTTACTTTCTTACAAGACTTAGTGTTGAGTATAAATAAGCATAAAATTTAATTATTTATAAATTAATGAAAAATAATTATATAATAGATTGTTATACTTGGAGTAAATATAAAATTAATTTTAAGTATTCAGTATTCATTTTTTTACTAATTTGTACTTAAAATTAATAATTGTATTCACTTGTATTTTTTTGGTTAAGTTTGGATATCATCTTTAAATTTCAACAATTTGATTAGATATTCACCCAACAATAACAATTTCATGAAATTAAAAAAAAAATTAGAATTTTGAATGAACTTTTCATTTATGCAAATATCTAAAGTGCAAACTTACAAATAAATTCCTTAAATTTTAGAGAATTAATTTGTTTCAATTTTTTCAGCTAATTGTGGCGAGTTTCAAGCAAAATATTAGTAAGAATATCAAATTGAGTCAATTGGCTAATTTTTCAACAGCTGGTGGGACTTTGCTTGCGGATTCAGAAATTCCAAAATTTTCCATACAAATTGCAGCAATTACAGAGGGTGAAGGGAATTGCACAGAGGCTGCTAATACATTACCTGTAAGCCAACAACACATGTTGAAAATTGATCCTCAAGATATATTTCAGCTTCCACCATCCATTTCAGGAGGAAGGGCACTGTCTCCAGATATAAATTCCATTAATAATATTTGAAGTAAGGGTTGTGGGATTCTTAATTTCTTTTTCTTTCTGTTATGTTTCTGATTATAGCCCTTAATTTGGTTTGGTGTTGGTAAGACTTTTAGATGTGAGGATTTTGAGTGTGAGAACAAATATGTCATTTTGAAATATCGAATACCTTTAGTTTAATTATCTGCATAATCGTTAATATAAATGAATGTGGAATTTATTTGATAATTTCATACATATTTCAGATAAACTTTTTTCCTTTGAAAAGAAAAAGAAATATAAGACTATAAATAGCTTTTAGCGTTTTTACTAAGTTAAAATTATATTTTACTAAGTTAACAATCATACCTAGGGATGAAAGCGGTGTGGATATTTAAGGGTACTCATCGCGCTCCGCTTCATTTAAAGAGGCTATTTAAAGTTATAAATGGATTTGAAACATGTATGAATAATGAAATTATTATCCGTAATAGATATAGATAGGATACGCATATTGATTTTTCAATACCCGTTACCCGCTATATTAAACGGATTTGTCAATGTGTACCTATGGGTATCTATTCATTATTACTAAAAATTATATTTTAAATAAATCTGAATTTGGACAGTATAAGATTCGCGGATACCCTACTTGTATAAGGGTATTTTAAATAAGTTTTGAACGGGTACGAGTAGTAAAAATTTAAACGGGTTCGAATGTAGATATTTAAATAGATATTTGAACGAATATGGAACGATGACGGTTAGTAAAATTTTAAATGAATACATGTATGAGTAGCTTAAAATTCATGGATATCCATCCCACTTTCATCCTTAAGCATATCTATTGTTTTTTCCTCCAAATTCAGTTAGTTAAATAACTAATATTCTTTTTTTGCAACTATTTTTTCTGAACATTTATAATATAAACTGCTATATAAAAAGCTACTAACCAAAAAGCTAATAGTTAACAACTAACAACTAATATAAACACACTAAAACAGCTAATGCTACGAAATAGATACTAAATATCCTTAATTTATAATAAATTTATTTGTTAAACCGTTTAGTTATAAAAAAAATATAGTTGGAATACTAAATAGAAAAAAATTGACAAATTTCACACGTCAATTATATAATTAATTTTGTTTACACATAATACAGAAAAAAAATAATATATAAAGTTGAAGATACTAAAGTGTTGGAGTATGTGGGTAATCCCACATCTACTACTCAATGTTGGACGTATGTGGGTAATCCCATCCGGGATAAATTACAACTAACTAAAAAGGCATAATAATGTGAAGGTAACCAAACTAAGAATGGCTTAAGCCATTTTGTTTAAAGGCAAGCCAACCATTATAAGTCCCAATTTAAATATAATTATTTGAATTGATTTGATAATTTGCTCATAGCCGAATTCTCAACAAATATCAGAGCCTGGGACTTCAAACCTTGCAACGGATAGTTCCGTGTTACCCTGATGGACCCATGTGTTGGGCCATCGTATGCTTGTCAAGTGGGTAGTCCCACTTGAGGGGGGAGTGTTGGAGTATGTGGGTAATCCCACATCGGCAGTAGAGTGCAAGAAAAAGAAGCAGAAAAAGGAAAGGCAGCTTAACATGTTTCCTAAAAACACAGGAATCACGAATAAGAAAAAAGTTTACAATCAATAAACTTATTTTTGCTAAGAGAATTTAAAATAGATGTTCCTGGGTGTCCCAATCTATGATGCCATAAAGCAGAAGATAGAGCAGCAAAAGGAGATGGAGAATGAACTGGAGAACATAATATAGGATAAAGGTCCCCAATGCTATTACATCTCATTAGTGGCATCCCTCTCCATAACTCCTTTACAGAAAAACCAAAAGGATCAAACTCAACAGAAACTCTATTATCAATAGCAAAACAACGCATAGAAACCAAGTTTTTAATGAGTTTGGGTGCATGGAGTACATTGGTTAAATGGAATGGTGGGTGTGGTGGGGAAAGAGATGTGTGTCCATAACCACGAATTGGAATTTCCTGTCCACTTCCAACAATTATATTATTATTATTGCTCATATTAAAATAAGACGAGAGAGTACCTGTAGATTATGTCATATGCGAAGTAGCTCATGTGTCCATGTACCAAAGCTCTTCATGAGGATTAAGAGACATGGTTTGCATTGCAGCATCAATATCAGTAGGTGCATAACTAGAAGGAAATGCCTATGCAGCATATGCTTGTTGTGGATGAGATCCTAGAATTCCAGACTGTCGTGCAGGTGGACGTGCCCAAGGAGTTGTTGGATGTGGACATGGTGGTGAAGTCCAAGCTTGCTGACCCCATGAGTGCCATGGTGGATAGGCAGACCACGAATAAAATGGTGGGTGCTGCTGCCAAAAACACTGCTGCCCCCCTTGTGGATGTCCATTACTGTGGTTATGGCCACCATTGCTTTGTCTTTTATTATTGTTTCGAGGCTGACCTCGTTTCTGTCCGTTATTACTGCGATTGTACTGATTACTTGAGCCACGATTTGAGACACGACCAGAGACAAAATTATTATCCGAACTACCAGTAGTAAAAAGAGCAGTTCCCGCAGCATTAGAGGTTGTGGCTGTTTGCTTAGCTTTGCGGGTTTCCTCAAGGACAAGCCCTGAACGTGCCTCATAAAACGGAGGCAATGGATCACTCTATTGAATGAAAGTAGCAACACCATCGTAATTCTCATTCAATCCGGCAATTAACTGGAGAACTAACCTTTGATTTGAGATCGGTGCACCAATGTTTGAAAGTTGATCAGCAAGCATCTTAAGTCCCTGACAATAAGCAGAAACGTTTGAAAAATCATCAAGATGAACATGAGTGAATTGATTTTCCAGATAAACAGCATGAGAATTTTTGTTATCCTAAAAAGTATTTTTCAAACGTTCCCATGCTTGGTGTGCAGTTGTATCCGGCTCTAGGATGGTGTTAAGAAGATCATTAGATGTGACATCCTGGACATCAGGGGGCATCACCTTAGGCGAATCCCACATCGGCTACGGACGAGGTAAACGATCTATACATAAGAGGGGTAGTCTCGTTTAAAGTTGATCAGCAAAATCACTTAAGTCCCTGACAATAAGCAGAAGACGTTTTGAAGAAATTCGATACAAAGATGAAACATTAGCAGTAGAAATGTGATAATTATGGCAACGCTCGAGATACAGACGCAGATAATTTCTTGCCTTTATCGCCCTAAATATTTAACTCCACGATTGCCTTGGTGTGGCAGTTTGCTATCCGGCGCTAATGTGTTAGCAAGCATTAAGATGTGACATGTATGTCACGTGGACATCAGGGGGCATTCCATCCCTTAGGCCCGAATACCCCACATGGCTACGGACGAGGTAACTCCTTACTACCCACCCAAGGGGTAGTCTAAACCTTGGTAAGGGTCGCCTTTTGAGTTGGCCAGAGTGGGTACGCCCTGGTCCAAGGAACAAAACCCCGTGAGGTGTAAGGACATCGCCGCCATCCGGGGGACTATCCAAGTAGGACGCGACAAATACTTTACCAAGGGTAGGCGCTATGACAATTGATCAGAGCCGGGCCTCGTGTTCCTCGGCTGGTGGGTGGGCAAAGACCTCAGCGCGAGGGACCTGAGTCCATTAGGGGGGGTGAATGGACATCCCTGCGACATCAAGCAAAGGGACAAAACCGTGAGGTGTAGGGACATCCGGGCCATCCGGGGACTATGCCAAAGCGGACAATACTTACCAAGGGTAGGGCTATGACATTAAATCTATCTTTTAATTACAACAATATTACATACTATTCAAACCTGAATTTCTGGAATGATCCCATTGCCATATGTTGTCGCGATGATAGCAATTGCATTACAGAATCCAAAAACACGGTCTTGAGTGTCTCCTTTTAGAGAATAGTCCTTTGGTTCCTTTGATGAATTTCCTGTGCAAAAAGAATAGTTAAATTAAGAATAAAAATTTTAATTTTTTAATTCAAATTACTTACACAAATTACTAATATTATCAGAGAATGAATCGTTAAAATACTAAACTTATAATTTTACTTGAAATATAAATTTGAATACTCAATTATTTCAAATAGCTTATTTTTAATTAATTAAAATTGATTTAAGGTTCGATTTTAAAAAAATAAAAAAAAAAGATATATTTTGATGCACATACCAATATGAACAGAACCAGCAGTGGCACAGGCACTATAAGCTAGGCATAGAAGCAAGGATATCAAACTGATGTGTCTTAGAGAGTGAAAAGATGGGATTTGAGCTAATATCAACATTAAGCATCCAAATATTATCACAAACTCATAAAGCTTTATATTCCCATTTGGATTTGATAGCAAGTAAATTGCCTGCATTATAAAATAAATAAATAAAAGGGTATAAATTAATTTTTTATTTTAGATATTTTAAAAAATAAAAAAAAGAATATTATTTGTAACCGTTAATCTATTTTAACCTTCATGCATTGGGCTCCAAGAAGTGTAGAACCAACAACAGCACCATAACACACCATGAACTCCATGAACTGAATTGGACCCACAAATACTTGGCCCACCTTGGACCCTACAAACAGTTAAAAATTGATCTTAATATTTGAGAAAATGTGTAACATGTGTAACAATTAAATAAATGGTAACATGTAACAATTAAATTAGAGCTTGCACTTGCTAAAAAATTTTCACCTATTTAGTTTATGTTTTCATTATGATGTGAGATAAATGATAATTTATATCAGATTAATAAATATTTAGTTATAATTTAGGTGAATTTATTATTTAATTATTATGCAATAATTTTACATAATTTATATTTGTGGATAAAGAGAGCGGTAGGAATGGTTGCGTAAAAGGAGAAGAAAAATTGAAATTGAAATTCAATACTTCTTTTACTTAAAATATGTCAAAGTCCCACCAAAAGCTAATAATGTGTTGGAAACACATAATTTTGTAGTCTTTTTCATATTTTATCTTTTTCTAAAAATTTTAATTGAATTGATATATTTTTTTTTGACAAAATTAGTTAATAATTAAGCAGTTAAATATTTGTTATACAGTGTAAAATTAAGAGTTTTTATTATATTGATATATTTTTTATTTTTAATAAATCTTTATTTTTAATTAATAGATGTTTCATAGGATAATAAGTAAAATTTCCCCTTCAATCTATGTAAAAGGTGTATTAGTCAAATTAAATTAAATTTATGTAAAATTTTTGCCTTTTTTTTTTTTAAGTTTTCTATCTAGTTTCAAAAATTTACTGGTCCGATCAATCCGAATTCGCACCAAAAAGGCTATAAAGAAAAAAAAAAGTTAATTTCTGAATATTTAAAGGCATTCTATGCTTGAAGCTTGAATTTAAAAGCTCGTTCTTAAAAACATTTTGAATTATCAAATTTTGATTTTTGGAGTATCTGAGTAGAGAGAACAATATAAGTGAACAACTAGTAGTGTAGTATGTCAATTTTGCACTAATTATTTGAGGCAATTGGTTGAAGGTACCCTATAAATGGTAAATAATTATCAATTCCACTATTAATTTACCTAATTAATAAGAATATTGAAATTGAAGGAAACTGTGCTAAAAAGGACATGACTAATTCGACCATTTCTGACCAAATCAATGTCTCAATTTATTGAAAGATTGTACTCGACAACCTTAAAGGACAATGGCATTCATTATTTGTTAGGCATTGCAATAAAGAAAAGAAAGCAGTTTTTTTTTTTTTTTTTTTTAAAAAAATATTGGGAGAGGGGATTCGAGCTGGATCTGTCGTCAATCGTACATGTATTTACTACTGGTTTGCGAAAGCATATCTATTTGCTAGTCGCGTATTGTAGGATAACTCTTTTAATCTATTTAGGCATGTGTTTTAAGAAAACTCGTAATGGAAAACTCATTGATAAAAAATTTCGAATACTAAAATTATAAACAAGATCAAATTATAATGAAATCTGGATAATTTTTTTAGACGGAAAATGATATCACAGAGCAGTTTTTATATCATGTATCATATTAAATTCATATGTTTATTTCAATTAAGGAATATTCTTAGTTTGGTATAATTGCTCGAACTCATTAGCTTTCAAAAAAAAAAATTTAGAAATTTATATTTTTGCCCTTCAAATTATAATGAAATCTGGATAATTTTTTTAGACGGAAAATGATATCACAGAGCAGTTTTTATATCATGTATCATATTAAATTCATATGTTTATTTCAATTAAGGAATATTCTTAGTTTGGTATAATTGCTCGAACTCATTAGCTTTCAAAAAAAAAAATTTAGAAATTTATATTTTTGCCCTAATTTTATTTTATATATTAGTAGAGGTTGATCAATGCTTAGCAACTACCTTAACAAGAAACGACTCAAAACTAAAAGAAAATAAAGAACAAAAAAATTAATTAAATAAAAAAGAAAAAAGAGAATGTGTTATATATAAGATGAGGCTTGCTTACACCAGGTATATGAGTCGACCTATATATCAAAACCAATCAATGATGAGATTTTTCAAAAGTTGTTAAAATTTTTAACTTTTTTTTCGGTAAATATTTATAAATATGTCCATTTTAACTAAAAACTTAATTTTAATTAGTTTTAGTGTATAGATAAACTCATACATCTGAGTATAAATAAGTCTTTCTCGTTATATATAATACAATCTTACCTAAGATTTGAATAGCCATGTCTCTAAAGCGAAGTTGGCGATGACCCATAAGAGCATGATGTTCAAGAACCAAAGACAGTAAGTTATAGGAATAGAAAGTGACCAAAGCTCCGATAACAAGACATGAAATTCCAGCTCCCCAACCCAGAAATGTGAAAGCATATGGGAGGCTTAGAAGAGCTGGAGCAACTATTGATGTTGTCAAGTGGTATCCACAGTGAAGCCACGATCCTACATTAATTAAATTGGTAAAATATCATTTTAATAATTCTAAATTAATTACTAAAAATATTCAAATCTGAAACATTTCAATCCACATATCTCTTAGTAATGATGTTACTGTAACATATAATTAGTATGCGATGGCAAAATTAATTATTTTCAATATTTAATAACAAAAGAAAAGAGTGGTTCATCTATAATACCAAAAGGAAAAAGAAAAAGAAAAAGACAAAGAGAAGGGTTGTTTACAAAACTACAAGAGTTTTGGAATGTGATTATGCTTAATATTATTTTAAAACTAGTTTACAAATATGCTTAAAAGTTAAAAACTATTCACTTGTGCTTTTCATTTCCCATCAATTGACAAAAATAGAAACATAAAGTCATGAAAAATGTGTGGATGATAATAATGATAGTTCGAGGTGAGATACACAACTAATTATATATAGTGATGGCTGATTTTTTTTTTTTTTTTTTTGTCAGTAATCGAAGTTCACAAACTTTTATTTTTCCTTTTCATTTTTGTTGAACTGTCTTTAAAGAAGATGATCATAAAAGAAAAGAGAAAGAAAGTACGATACCTTTGGATTTGAGAATGAAAAGAGCACCAGCATCAAGCTCTTTAGCTTCTTGTTGTGGAACCTTTCCAATATCTTCCTCACCATTCACTGACACAGTTTCCATCTCTCTGGCTTTCCCTCTCAGCAAAAGAATAGTTTAGAAGAAGAAGAGAAAGATAAAAGGAAAAAGGTGAGCGAAATTATTAGAATTGAAAAGAAGAAAAATGTATGTATATATATGAATTTAGTAACCATAGTCAGATAACTGACTTTAATGATTTGTTCACTGATCTATCCACATGTGGACTCTCCCTCTCTCTAATAACAACCACCCTTCAATAGGACAAAATACTACTTAACATTCCAACTTGCTGTATTGTATATATAATATATGTGGATATTTTGAGACAAAAAAATTATAAAATTGACATTAATACAGTTTCTCTACATGTATGCCCAACGGCCTACACATTTTGGTTGAGTAATAAATACCAAATTGGAATATGAGAATATTATTATAAAAAACTAGGAAAAACTTAGCATTAAGATCCAAACATTAAATAGGAAATTGGGATAGAATGGTTGAAACTCTCTCTTTATTAACGGGTTCAAATTTGAGCTTTGGATGTAAAAATTCAGAATCGGCCGTTATACGGGACCTACAATACTCAAACTGGATTTAATCGAAGTTCAGGATCCAACTAACTGTGACAAGCAAATCTTGTTCGTCGTGTATCAATTTTAAGATCTTAATGATTAATGATAAGTGAAAAAAAAAAAAAAAAGGCGAGTAACATAAAAATAATAAATCAGAAATATAATTTGGAGGCTCTTTCTAAATAGTTTGCCTAGTGTGATGAATAGCAGCCTAACTATACTATGAGCTACTATATTTGCTTGATGTCTAATCCAATGGACAACCCATCCATTGTCTAAATTCAATAATTTTTGACAATCTGACAAAGTATGATCGAACCCACATAAACATAAGTCTCTTGACATAGCTATGAAGGCACCTCTCTTTGGGCCAGAATTACATACAAGAGAACCTGAGATAGCACAAAAAAAAAAGACCCTGAAAATGACACAATATTACCGCATACAATTTGCTTGCTTCTTCAAAAATCGCAGCATCCACATTGCATTTGAGTCTCCGGTTTAGTCCAACTAGGGCTACTTGTTCAACATTGGCTAGCTGTAGAGGAATTCTGCTTCCGCATCTGACGTAGCATGCAGGCCATACCATGAAAGGGATCAACTTAGGATTAGGTTTAAGCTTGAGTGAGGTTAGGTCTAGTATTAGCTTAAAGGCCCATCAAAGCACTTGGTTTAGACGACCTCAAAGATTATATAGCAGTGGACCCTTTAAACATGCATTAAGTATAGCAGTGGGACCTTAACTTAGGATTAGGTTTAAGCTTGAGTGAGGTTAGGTCTAGTATTAGCTTAAAGGCCCATCAAAGCACTTGGTTTAGACGACCTCAAAGATTATATAGCAGTGGACCCTTTAAACATGCATTAAGTATATCTTCTATAACAGAACCATAGATCCATCCAATCTACAAATCAAGAGATAAACATTAATTAATGGAAAATAATTATTTCGTCCCTCAGGTTTACCACAATTATTTAAGTAGTCCTTCACATTTTATGTACTATATAACTCATCCTCGACATTTAACTATGTTTAATTGAAAAGTCCTTCCGTCTAAAAATAGGGTATTTTGCCGTTAATTTGAAAGGAAAGCACTAAAACAAAGAAGGGAAGATAGCGGTGACACAATGGCAGTGATGCTGGACCAGGGGCGATCAGAAAAGAAGGTGGAAGGGGGAGGGAGGAGCTGCTGCCTCTGGAACGGGGAGAGAGAAGAGAGGGAGTGTTTTAGTACTTTCCTTTCAAATTAACGGCAAAATACCCTATTTTTGGACGGAATAACTTTTTAATTAAACAGAGTTAAATGTCGGGGATGAGTTATATATTATATAAAATATGAGGGATTACTTAAATAATTATGGTAAATTTGAAGGACGAAATAATTATTTTCCCTTAATTAATTAATAAGACGAAGCAAATTTAATATATATGCTTTTAAAGATGTATTATCCTTAAATGCAGAAAGCCTATTGATTTGATATACTATGTAACACCTTTTAGGCAAATCTTAATGTGATGAGGTGGATATATAGTTGAATAAGTCACAGAACATTGCGAATTTTTTGGGTAGAATAATAAGTCTCTAATTAAAAATAAAATCGCGTAGATCCTGTTTAAATCTGTGAATTTAAAACTTAAGGTAAGTTTTTGAATAATTTAAGTAATGAAATTTTAAAATTTTTAAATTATATAAAAAATTTATTAAATCATTAATTTAAGTGAATTTTTAGCTTAATTAAAACTTTTGAGCAGCACATCAAGATATAACTTAGTGGTAAATACTTTTATTACTTGATAATAGATATATGCAAATAAATATATCAAAATAAATAAAATTAATAAATGTGAAAAACATTAATTATAAATCTTGCATTTTGTTATCAAATGCCATCTAACCCTTAATATAATAATTACCAAAAATCCAAATGAAATTTAAAAAGGCCATAAAACTTGATTTTAAAAAAAAAAATGTTAATAAATGTTGAGTTAAGACTACCTTCGGCCCTTGACTAAATAAAAGAGACTGAGGTTGGTTGGCCCAGCCCACATAATCTTATTTACTCTCCGGAATAAAATTCTATTCTACGCCATGTTTTCACCACCTGCACCTCCATTCTAGTACAGCATAAACCCACAACCAAACACTCGCCGAAATATTAATTGAGGAAAAAAAAGAAACTCTGTTTCGAAAAGTTTCAAATTACCTTTTAGAAACCCTTTCAAAAAGAAACGCAGGTTTCGATTACCGGAAACAAGAATCGAAAGTTTTCACTCGGTAAGCAGTATTATTTCTCTTTCTTTCTCTTTTTTTTTTTTTTTTCTCTCAATTTGAAATTCAAGTTGTATGATTGCTTAACATTTCTGTTCTTTGGGTTGCTTAATTTTTTTTTTTTTTTATATTAATTTGAATGTTCTACTTTTGTTGATATCCACTTGGAAACAGAGCATGCTCTGTTTTGATTTCTAAAGTGTTAACTACAATTTCTCTAATATAATTATGATTTTTCAGAGATTAATAAAAAGATTGAATTAAGTAATGAAGTGAGGAGCATTTGAATTTTTGAGCTGATTTTGTTAATGATACATATAATTAGTGTATGTAAGAGGTAATTAATGACACACTTCAGTGATGGATTTTTGCTTCTATCAAACACTTCTAAGTTTTTTCAATTTCTGATTCTCTAACCCAATTACCAGTTCATTATAAAAACTTAGTAGATTTTGTCTGAATTCTACATTTTTATACTTTAAAAAGTTAGATGTTTATAAGATTGAATAAAATAGTAATTCTTGGCTTTGGTTAAAAGTTTTAGATGTTGAATAATTACTCCATGGAATAGCAGTTTTATAATGTCAAGTTTTGGATGAAATTCTGAATTGTATAATAAATTTATGACATATGTTTGAGATTTTCTAAATTTATGGAATACAAATGGATGAGTAAAGAATAGCTATTTCATGCTATTAATTAGCTTTTCCATTCCTGTCTTGTTACATTCCATGGACCAAATGAAGTGTAATGAATGCTGAAATGCATAAGAACCTGAATGTTCAACTGTGTCTTTGGGTTTTGGATTGAAGTAGGCCAGAATTTAAGTCACAATTTAATGAATTATCAGGTGGCAAGCTTCCAATTCCTTCCAGTTCCAATTTTCAAGCCAATTCAGTACTACCCATATTCTGTGATTTAGATTATTCTTATAAAGGGCATGCTTAAGGTTACATTATAACAGCTTGTTGTTCTATTTTAATGAAGTTCATGGAAATGGTTTTGGAGATATCATTTCAAGCAAATTAGGACGCATAAATAGATGAATTTTTAATTGAGTTCATATTGGTGCAATATCTCTAATTTTTTCTAGCAATTGTGTGAGATATTAGCAGAGAATCACATTTCATACATGTGCTAAGTGCAACACATTTTAACTTCTGTCTCTTACATTAACATATGAGTTTTTCATTTCTTCCATTTTAGGCGTACAGAACTTTGGGTTAAAGGTATGCCATCAGAAACAGATAAGTGGGGTTGGGAACATGTTAGTGTCTTTGGTGGATTTGACAGAGGAAGTGGTACAAAAAGATGGAAATGTAACCATTGTAATATACGATATAATGGATCATATTCACGTGTTAGGGCTCACCTTCTTGGATTCTCAGGTGTTGGGGTCAAAAGCTGCCCAGCAATAGACCGATCTCTGAGAGAAGCATTTCAGATCCTGGAGGAGGAACGTCTTGCAAGGAAAAAGAAAAAGAATTCTATGAATGGGAAGCCTGGTAAGCGAATTCGGACTTCACAGCCAAGTCTTACCTGGAAAACTATCACCAAGGATGATGTAGACGATGCGGTGGCTAGATTTTTTTATGCAGATGGATTAAATATTGATATTGTTAACTCTCCTTACTTTCATGAAATGGTGAAAGCAATTGGTGCTTTTGGGTCTGGATATGAACCCCCATTGATAGGTAAGCTGTCTGATTCTTTTTTAAGTAAAGAGAAAGGGAGGATTGAAAAGTCAATGGCTTTAGTTAGAGAGTCTTGGCCGCATACCGGGTGCACGATACTGTGTGTAGGTCGATTAGATGTTACATTAGGTAGCTTCCACATTAATATATTTGTCTCAAGTCCAAGGGGCCTTATATTCTTGAAAGCTGTTGATGTAGATGATAGTAATGAAGTAGACCATGTTTTTACTGGTGCACTTAATGATGCAATTATAGAAATTGGACAATCAAATGTGCTTCAGGTTATTTCTCATATTGGTAATGCCTGTAAATCATCTGAATCCTATGTATCGTCGAAGTTCCCTCATATATTTTGGTCTCCTTGCACTTCACATTCTATTCTCATGTTGATGGAAGAAATAGCTGAAGTGGAATGGATAAAACCTGTTGTCTTGTGTGCTAAGGCAATTGAACAATGCATGATGACATATCATCATTATTCTCCATGTCTTTTCATTCAAAATCTGAAAGATAGCTCTGATCCAATTTCTGCCAGATCTGCACCATCTTATTGTTGTGTTCAAAGGATTTTCGAGCTAAGGGAAGCTCTTCAAGAGGTGGTTGTTAGTGAAGAGTGGAAGCAGTGGAAACACACTATTGCTGAGGATGTTGAAAATGTTGAATCTGCCATTTTAGGTGTCGATTTCTGGAGCAAGACCCATTTGATGTTGCAGGTATATGAGCCATTTGTAACATTACTAGCTACACTTGAAATTGATAAATCAGTTATTGGTGCTGTTTATGATTGGCGGTTTCAGGCACTTGAAACCTTGAGGAGAAAGGCAATAGATGATGGCATATTGAATCAGTTGGAAGGACTGATTGAGAATAAATGGGATGCGCTATTTTCCCCTGTTCATGCTGCAGGTTATATACTGAACCCTAGATATATTGGAAACTTTCAAACCAAGGAGAAATCTGTAATGCGGGGCTGGAAAGCTACTCTAGAAAGATATGAAAGTGAAAGTGCAGCCAGGCGAGTTCTCAGAGAGCAGCTTAGCTCATATTGGCATCTAGAGGGATCCTTAGGTGAAGAAGATGCTGTTGATTGTCGAGATAAAATGGACCCAGTTGCATGGTGGGAGAACTTTGGTTTTGAGACCCCTAGCCTACAGATGCTAGCCATAAAGGTTCTGAGTCAAGTTTCAAGCACTTCAATGTGTCAAGAAATTTGGCAAAATAATGACCTTTCGCATCGAGAAGCAGCAAACAGGTTGGGAGTGCAGAGACTGGCAGACCTTCTTTTTGTTCGAAACAATCTTAGACTTCAAAGCCAAAGAAGTGGAAATCTGAGTTCCTCTCCTGGCCAAAGAAATCCAATTTCAAGTTCCTCTGGAGTTAAAACATGGGATGGATCCCATCCCGATCAAATGAAGGCAATTGTAAATATCCATGACAACTTGTGACATAGCATGCACTGCCTTTAAACTATTGTGAAACGTTTTTGCATCAGAAATTTACTTAGTGGGAAAGGCCTATGGACTTTGAACTCAAGCATCAGCTATTGGAACTAATCGCTTTAGTGTGTACCTGAAACTCAAAAGAATTGCCACATTTGGGCCTGATATCATGCAGTGAGTTGCCAGTGAACCACGTTCTGTTGCATTTGCCTTTTGCTTTTGCCATGTGCCAATCCAGTTGGTCTTTTCTGGTGTCTTTAAGATTAGTAAGTTGTCTTGCTTAAAATTTATGTACTATATCATGAGTAAAGAATTCTCTATCTGTAGTTTAAATATTCTGTAAATTGTAGTTCAAATGATAATTGTACATCAACATTAGTGACCTCAAGATTACAAGTTCATCTTTCAAGAATTTATAATTGCAGTTGCCACTCATATTCTTTCTTCTTCTTCTCCGTTTTTGGTTTTGTTTTTCTTTTTGCATACATGACAGAAGTTATTCTGTTACTTTCTATATGTCTAGCTTTTTGAGTGAACGATCCTAGAATTAATAGAACACTTGAAAGGATTATTTTTGTTGGCTGGGAGTTTTAATATTTTGATAAAGCATTTAATGGAATCTTATTCTTGTCCCATTTTAGGTGTCAGTTTAGGATTTCTTTTGTCCGGCTTCATTTGTCATTTTAGAAAATTAAGTATCATATTTTCTTCCAACTTTATTCTTGTTTGTGGATATTTCCACTAAAATTAGGGTATTTAATGATTTTCTTAATCTTTACGCAGACACTTAAAATGGGCGAGAGCGAGAGAGTATTATAAATTGATTAATGGGTAGCAAATAGAGGAGTAGATTTATTATTGCTTGGTGAGGTAGCAAGATTAATTGTCTTGTCTGGTGTTAACAGGCATGCATGTATTTTACCAACGGCCAAAATTAAAGCATGTATGATACAGTATCCAAAAAATAATAGACATTGTTGGTCCAGAAATGTAATTACAGAGGCCCACTATCATTATCAAATATCTCTGTGGGGTATTCCTTGGTTGATACGATAAACTTACTTCTATTTATTCATTTAGCCTCTTCCCTTAGACTAAATTAACTGCAAATCTTTTCTGTCTTAATATGCTAATGACATGAGGGGGGCTTTTGTAATCAAATTATCATTACATGTGAACACTAATGACATTTGTTTGCACTTAATGTTCTTTCTTCACTCTTTGCAATTTTGTCTTAGGTTAGGTTTGGTTATGATATGAATTGGCTTGCAAATCTGTTCATAATTGATTATATACTGCTGATTGTTCTTCCCTTCTTAAGTAGTGAGCTTATAGTCTGTAGAATAGACATTTTTAGTGCAATTTCTGAATTGGGCATGCATTACTTAAGTGGTATTCACCCCCAAATTGATTTTTTGTCCTGAAATTGGAAGTTTGATGCTTCAATCAATGTTAATCAACTCCATAGAAGGTCACAATCCAAAATGTTAAAGATATTAAATAAGTCTTGTCCAGATCTTTCTTGCTCTTGCTCTATGAGATGGTTTCAGCCTTTCAGTTGATTTGGTACATCATTTTCATGTTCACATTTGTAATATAAAAGTAAAAGTAAAAGCGTCATTGCAACTTTCAAAATTACAGAACTTGTGAGTAAAAAGTCTCTTTTCGACCAAGATTTGAACTCGTAATCTTACAATTTCGATACAATTCGATAATTTGAAGAATAATTGTATTAGATGAATGGGCGTATTTGTATTTTGTTGGAAATATCAGGTGTTCTTATTCAAGTCCTGTTCGAGAATAAAGTTGCAGGCTTTAATTTGTGAAGGAAATTAGGAACCAGATTGATAGACTTTTATAAAGTTGAACATTTTTGCAAATCCAGGCAATAGATTTTCTGTTAGAGCAAAACAACAACATGAGAAATGGACATGTATGTGTGAATTTGCTAGATTGAAAATCTTGACTATCGACCTCTAATCTAATCATGCAATTAAAGCGTAAATTACGGTGTGCAATTTGTTTTAATTTAGTTCTTTATTAGAAATTGAGAAGAAAATTATTATTATTATTATTATTATTATTATTATTATTATTATCTAACAGGAAATGTTGAGGCAAAATCAGCGGCCGAATGCCAATTTATAGGAGAAAAGATAATGGAGAGTATTTATAATAAGAAAAGAAAAGAAAAGGGGAAATCTTAAATTTGAGATTTAATGTTTGTGTCTGTCTACACGAAAAGACAAGTGAAGAAGTTGAAAAAGCAATCCCAATCCCAACGACCTAACTTTGTATTAACTTAATTCATACAATACAAATAAAGTGAAAGCATTGATAAAAAAAAAGTATATAACTACACGGCAGGAAAAGAGCCATAAATTAGGAAAATAAAAGAAAGATAAGACAGTCAATCGGCTGAGAAAATCCTTTGGACCCCAATACTTGGTTTGCCCTTTATTTGTTGAATCTAACCCGTATACGTATCTTTAATGCAGTTATGAATTGTGGTTGATGTGTTTTAATAATATAAATTGCGGATTGTGATACGGCTAAATGTGTATTTATAGATGTTAAATTTTAAAAATAATTTTTCAATAAATGAAGAAGAAATCTGTTTCATCACAACAAGAAGTTTGAGCACAAATAAATGAGGAAAATAAGAAATAAATATATAAATAGGAAAAAAAGAACAAAAAGCTAAGTCACGCTGTCTATGTCTAACAGACTCTCTGAAAATAGAGAGCATGATAGATAATGTTTTTTTTCTTTTTGACACATTAGACTTACAAATTAAACAAACAATAGCGTTGGAGAAAGTCTTTATTTTTAACTTTTAATTTTTTCAAACGTGAGAGATAAATTAACACGATTAACAGTTGTATTGAAATGCTCTTATTACTTTTCTTCTATTTGAATGTATTTGGTGTATGTTATTTCTCATGTGCCTAACTTTTTTTGTTCTATATTATTCTATTTTCACGTGCCTAGTTGGAAACTTTGACTTCGACAAAATTAAGCTCAGACACATGAGTTGTGTGAGAAAGTCTTAATAATTCATAGGTTGCAATTTCACTTCTTTCATTAAATTTTTAAATAATGTTATATTCTAATTCTGAAGCTTTTACTGAATAATAATAAAAAATAAAAATAAAAAGTCGTTATTTGGGTAGAATCCTAAATATTTGAATGTGACGATTTATTAAATTTAATAATTACTAAGTAATATCAAGAGCTAATTACTGAATAATTAAAAAACATATATGGTGACATTTTATACTTATGGGAGACAATATCTTTTTATTATATAGCTTATTGAATTAACTCTAGAATTTTTTTTATTTAAAAAAAAAATTAACTTGTAAGTTCAGCTAAGCATTATTAGTTTACCTTAAATAAACAAGTTTGTTTCATTATTATTTGACAAATAAATTGAAAGTTCAATAATTTCAGATAAATGATCTTATCACTTATGTAGAGAATGAGAGGTTTCAGGTTTGAAATCTCTGACCACAACAATTTTCAATAATCAGTGATAAATGACTTTATCACTTATACGGTGCGTAAAAGGAAAGTCTTTTTCTATCATATAACACATAATATTCTTTCAGCCCGTTAAAACGTTGCACGTCCAAATGAATAATAATAATAATAATAATAATAATAATAATAATAATAATAATCAGAATAATAATAAAACTGCCGAATTTAATTATAAAACTGCGGGATTTAATTAAGAATATAATATGAAGCAGAGAGGGTTGGTACGTGTGCCCTTATCAGTAGCAAAAGTGCAAGACAAGTCTACATAAAATGACGTTTTAACCTCTTCAAATATAGATTAATTTGCAGGTCAACACGTATATATAATATGTAATAATAACATTAACCTTTTAGCGGTTTAATTATTTAGAATTCCTGTCAATTTTTGGCTGTTAATTTATGCCGCAGAAGAATGTCTACAAAGTAAAAACAAATGCTGGTAGCAGTAACTTTGATAGGGTTGGGAAATTTAGTCATATGGTAAAAAAAAAAAAAAAAAGGTGGAAGAAGTATAATATGAAGCAGAGAGCAAGGCTTCGCGCTTGGCTACGTTGCCCCTATCAGTAGCAAAGTGCGAGAAGAACAATAAGCTCTACATTAATCAAGTGACGAATCTTTAACCTCTTCAAACTGGTATAAAGAATTACACTCTTGCAGTGGTCCAGACGACGGTATTTATAAATATGTAATCAATAACATTATAACCTCTTTTAGCGGGTTTATAATTTATTTAGATTTACTTCTCGCTCCGAGCCCTTATGACCACGTAAGATCAAGTCGATCTTCAGGGTCCACAGGCGATTCTGCTCAATTTTTGAGTCGTTATTTATTGCGATGCAGAAGAGATGTTAACAAGTAAAACATAATGCTCAGGTAGCAGTAACTTCCTGATCACGCGGTTGGGAAATCTACTATTCATGTAAAAAAAAAAAAAAAACAGATGTGCCTTATAATGGTAAAAAAAAAAAAAAAGAGTTTGCCTTAAGGTACAATTCCATTTTCATCGGAATCAGTGTAACTATGTTCATATTTTTAATATTTACCATTTAATGAATTCCGATTAATAATCATATATATGATTATTAGAGAAAATTAAAATGGAAAGTATAAAAACAAATTAATGGCTATTTTAGAAATATTTAAACTATAAAAATATTTTTCCTTTTAATTTCTGAATATGTGTTAGCGGATGGCATTTTTTATCAATATTCAAGGTAAAATAAAGATTTTTTGAAAGAATGATTAAATATTTTAATGGGTCAATAATAATATAATGACTTTTTAATATATTTACAAAAATAAAGAGATTAAATAGTTAATTATATTTTTTTTTTCCATTTTAATAGTAATATTTAACTTTTTTTTTTTTTTTTTTCCATTTAATAGTATATTTAACTTTTTTTTTTTTATTTTTTTTAGTTTTCAAAATCAGAAATGCATTGTTGTTATTTTTTTTTTTTTTTTTTAGTTTTCAAACAAAAGATTGTTTTGATCCATTTCATGATAGGGTGAGTTTGAGTGTTTTCTTTTATTTTTTTTTTTATTTTGGATTCTTTCATATTCACATTGAAAGTGAATGTCAAAGCCATAGCACAGAGAACGTGAACGTGGGTTTGCTCATCAAACGAGAAAAGAAAAGGTAACATAGAGAAAGAAAAGAAAAATCTCAAGAAAATATGATGTCATTTTTTTTTTTCAATTTTTCATTAAAAAATTATTCCACGTCAGTTACCGGTAGTTGACTGGAAAACTGAGTAAAAGACTTTTACGGTATTTCAACAGAAATTAATATATTTTTAAGTGGTAAATTGAAGTTTAGGGACAATTAATAAATATAAGCTATATTTTTCATAATAATCCACAGACTTTTAACACCGACATTAAATATTTGT